GCCAAATAACCCATAAACAAAAAGCCACTTCTTCATGTACAGTATATACTAACTTATCTAAACATGTGCAGAAATAAGAACTTGACGAAACAGAGAAGATAAAATGACACAGTTACAAAATCAGCCAAGTAACAAAGAAGCCCACAACTTTGAAGCTTATTTAAACACGCCTAAATCAAGAGCAGACATAGAAGATTAACTAAACAGAAAAAATAAAGCGTCCCAGTTACAAAATCAACCAAGTAACCAGAAACCAAAACTTGGAAGCTAACTAAACACGCTTAAATCAAGAGCAGAAATAAGAAACTTAACCAAACAGAGAAGATAAAGCGACCCAATTAGAAAAGATCAAATTTTAGGGAAGAAATTGAGATTAAAAGACCTCGGAAAGGTGAAGTCTTCTTGTTTCAGTAGCCGTAAAAGTGAAAGGCTTTCCTGGCTTAACTTCAACTCTTGCAAACTCATGAAAACTCTAATCAGCACCAAACTTCGTTGGAACAAAAACTAAGAAGAAAAAATTAAGATTTTTGTTTAATCAAAATGGACGATTATTCATATCTGTTTTGGGTTTAAAATATGAAATGTAGGATCAAATGCTCAATTAGTAATAGATGCTGAAAACTTGTATCTTATTCAATGAAATACGATGGCATTATATAGTCTTTACATCAACAGAAAACTCCTAAAAATACTGCAGAGAAACAGACCTTTTTCTGCAACTACTTTGACCGAAATATCAGGTCCTTATTTGAATAAGACTACTAACGACTAGTTCCTACACACGACTCCACTCAGCATCCTTGTTCTTTGCATTGACTTCTTCTAACAAATCCTCCCTAAGCTAAACTTGGTTTACAAGTTTGAGCTTATCCGAAACTGAGCAAACTCCAAGCCTGTTCCTTAGACCTTCAAACACTTCACGCGTTAATGGCTTTGTGAAAACATCAGCTACTTGCTCACTCGATCCACAATGTTCAAGACTTATAACTCTTTCTTTAACCAGATCACGCAGAAAGTGAAAACGAACTTCAATGTGTTTGCATCTCCCATGAAAGACTGGATTTTTAGACAACTTAATCGTTGAAGTGTTGTTGCACTGAATAATCAAGCTCCCTTCCACATTGTACCCCAACTCTGTTAGAACCCTTCTGAACCAAACCGCCTGACAAGCACAGATAGAAGCAGCCACATATTCAGCTTCTGTGGTAGATAAAGTGAATATGGGTTGCTTCTTTGACAACCAAGCAACTGCTGAACCATTCAAAAGAAATACATAACCAGATGTACTCTTTCTGCTGTCAATGTCTCCTGCGAAATCACTGTCAGTGTAAACTGACACTTCTCATGTTCCTCCTCGCTTGTACCAAACACCAAAATCCATCGTTCCTTTCAAATACCTCAACACCCATTAAGCAGCTTGCAGATGAAGTGTTGTAGGTCTAGACATGTAACGACTTAATAAACTCACAGAGAATTGCAGGTCTGGTCTGGTGGTGATGATGTACATGAGACTCCCTATTATCTGTTTATAGAAAGTCTCATCTACTTGTTCTCCCTCTTCGTCTAAAACCAGCTTATTCTCGGGCACCATTGGACTCTTTACAGGGTTGCAATTCTCCATGTTAAACCTCCTCAGAACTTCAAGAGCATATTTCCCTTGTGAAATATGAATTCCATGTGAGGTCTGCAGCACTTCTAATCCGAGGAAGTATCTCATCTTCCCAAGATCTGTCGTCTCGAACTCTCTCTTCATTGATTTCTTAAAAGCTTCCATTATTGTGACATCATCTCCAGTGTAGATTAGATCATCTGCATATACACTGACACAGAGAGAGTTCCCACGCTTGTTTGTCTTGAGAAATAAAGTTTCTTCATTCTGAGACTTCACGAACCCTTCCTTAGTGAAATATTCTTCAATCCGACTGAACCAAGCCCTTGGCACCTGCTTTAAGCCGTACATTGCTTTGTGAAGCTTGTGCACTTTGTCTTCATCAACGCTAATCATATATCCCTTTGGTTGTTGGATATAAACATCTTCCTCAAGAACACCGTAGAGAAAAGCCGAATTGACATCTAACTGATAAATATCCCAAGCCTTCATTGCTGCAGTGGATAGAATGGTTTGAATAGTATCCATTCGAGCTACAGGGGCATATACCTCAGTATAATCAATTCTATGCTCCTGGGAATATTCCTTTGCCACTAAGCGAGCTTTGTGCTTGATCACTTCTCCTTGCTCGTTAAGCTTCGTCTTATAGATCCACTTAACCCCTATACATTTTGCTCCTTCTGGCAACTCTGCAAGATTCCAAGTTTGATTCTTTTCAATTGAATTTATCTCCTCCTTCATGGCATTTCTCCACTTTAGGCTCTTCTCTGCTTCTTCGTATGTTTGAGGATCAGATGAGTTAACCACTGCCATGTTAACTACATCTTCGTCATCATCAATCTCATTTCCGATGAGGTAATCCCTGAGATATCCAGGAGGTCTCGTTGTTCTACCCTTCCTGACTCCTGTCAGTTGCTCAACTGGAGTTTCTCCGGTGACTTCTGCAGGTTGTTCTCCTTCATTTTCCTGCTCTCCTTCAATCTCCTTTTCACTCTCTTCCCAAGTATGATCATCATCATTCCAGGTAAGATCAGTTTCACGATGATCTTGATTTCCTTCCCAGTTCCAACCTTTCGCTTCTTCAAATATCACATTCTTGCTTATGTGATCTTCTTGGTTTTTGGGTTGTACAACCGGTATCCTTTTGATTCTTCAGAAAAACCAAGAAATACACAGGTGGAGCTCTTGTCATCAAGCTTTCCTCTTTTCTCATCCGGTATGTGGACATGTGCCAAGCTTCCCCACACTCTGAAATGCTCCACACTTGGTTTAACTCCACTCCAGGCCTCTTGTGGAGTTACATCTTTCACCGAATGAGTAGGGCACCTATTTAATATATAAAACGACCAATTCACAGCCTCAGCCCAGAAAGTCTTTGGTACCGTTCTCATTGATAGCATAGACCTGACCATGTTCATCACGGTCCGATTCTTCCTTTCTGCGACGCCATTTTGTTGCGGCGTATATGCTGTTGTTAGTTGCCTTCGGATGCCTTCACTTTTGCAGAACTCAGTGAACTCAGTTGATGTGTACTCCCCTCCACGATCAGTCCTCAGGCATTTGATCTTCTTTCCTGTTCCTGTCTCAACCTTCTTCTTAAATGTCTTGAAGTGATCAAATGCTTCTGATTTTTCTTTCAAGAGATAAGCCCATGCTTTTCCGCTGTAATCATCAATGAAACACAGAACATATCTCTTGCCGCTGGTGGTGGTAGGACTGATCGGTCCACAGATATCTGAGTGTATGAGCTCCAAAACATCTTTTGCTCTCCACGTGCTCTTCTTGGAGATGGGATTTCTTGATTGTTTTCCCACCAAGCAATCAGAGCAAGTGAAGTTTTGTGCATCAAAAGCTGGGAGACCAATTACTATTTTCTTGCACTGCAGTGTCTTCATTCCAGTGTAGCTGAGGTGACCACTTTCATGCCAGAGTTTCGGCATATCCTCCGTGACAGTCTGCAAACATCTTTGTTGTTTTGGTCCTGCTCCATCGCCGGTTTGATCATACAGCATAAACATCCTGTTTCTACTCATCTTGCTCTCTGCAATCAGACCCTTCTCATCATGGTAAAGTTTGCAGACTCATCTCCGAATGATGATGGTTACATCCCTTTCCTGAAGCTGTCCGAGACTCAAAATATTATTTTTGAGCTCAGGGATGTAATACACGTCACTGATCATGTATGTGGCACCGTGTAAGACCAGTTTCACATTCCCTTTCCCCACAACTTCTAACCTCTTGTCATTTCCCAGCTTTACTGAATGTTTGAACTCAGTGTTCATCTTGGAGAACAGATCTCGATTTCCACTCATGTGGTTTGAACACCCTGAGTCAAGAAACCAAGCTTTCTTCTTCATGTCTTCTTGCTCTCCACCGTATGCCATTAATAGCATGTCCACCTTTGTTTCAATGTCTTCTACATCTTCTTCCAAATACACCATCAGCAACATCTCCTCCTCTTCATCAGCATAGTTTGCTTATTCTTCCCACTTAGGGCATTCGTTTTGGAAATGCCCAAGGCGATGGCACTTATAGCATTCTACCGTGCTTTTGTTTGGAAACGAACGACCTCGGCCACGTCCCCTGCCTCTTCCATAAGCGCCTCTTCCTCTGGTTCCAGATCCTCTCCCATGAGTTACCTTCAGGGCTTGATCATCTCCCTTGTCCTGTTTTTTGAACTTTTGCTCATGAACATTAAGTGAACTATGCAGTTCGTCAAGCGTCACCAACTCTATGTCCTTTGATTCCTCAATCGACACCACCACATACATAAACTTCTCGCTGAGGGTTCTTAGGATCTTTTCCACCACCTTGGAGTCAACTATCATCTCTCCATTGCTTCTCATCTGGTTTGTGATGGCTAGTACTTTTTCGAAGTACTCATCTATAACGATCTCAGTTTCCTTCATCTCCAAGAGTTCGAAATCTCTTTTCAGTTTCTGCAACAGGGATTTCTTCACACGATCGTTTCCACCAAACTTCTTCTTCATTGACTCCCAAATGATTTTAGATGACCTCCGATCTAAGATCTGCTCAAACGTCACTCTATCAATGGACTGATAGAGATAGTCCTTCAGCTTGTGGTCGTTGGTTTTGGCATCATTTAGTTGTCGCCTTTGTTCAGGAGTGAGAACCGTTACGTTGTGGTGGTCGGTTCTTCATATCCGGTTTCGATCAGACTCCACAAACCTCTGGCCCTGAAGAAATTCTCCATCACTTCACTCCAATGATCCCAGTGACCATCGAACTGTGGCAATTTCATTTTGTCATCAGCCATCTCTCTTTGTTTGAGTTTTGAAGCTGCGGCTTCTTTCTTAAGTTTTCAGTATCTAGCGAGCTCTGATACCACTTTGTAGGATCAAATGCTCAATTAGCAATAGATGCTGATAACTTGTATCTTATTCAATGAAATATGATGGCATTATATAGCCTTTACATCAACAGAAAACTCCTAAAAATACTGCAGAGAAACAGACCTTCTTCTGCAACTACTTTGACCGATATATCAGGTCCTTATTTGAATAAGACTACTAACGACTAGTTCCTACACACGACTCCACTCAGCATCCTTGTTCTTCGCATTGACTTCTTCCAACATGAAACCCACCCCAGAAAGCCATTTAATTTTACAGTATCTTAATCAAACTTTACACTGAAACAACAATATAAGTCATTAAAACACCACAAAACACAGAGAAAAGAAACAGCATTTAAGAAGAAGAAGAAGGAAACCTGAAATCTGTTCCAGTTTCTCTAAGCATTCAAAGGGTCCGATTTCAGGATCGGATCTACAAATGGAGCGACATAAAATACGTTTGTGAGAGTCGAATAGTTTGGAATTTGCAAGGGACTAAATGCTTAGGAAGCCGAAAATAAAAAAGAATGGCTCGTCCGAGAAATGAAGAGAGGCGATTTTTTGTTTCTTTAAGATGCCACGTGTCAGACTTTCACATAATGACATATTAATAGGATGGAGAGAGTTCAGCCTCTTTTATATATAAGATTACTTTTTATAGTGTATCACTTTTTTAAACAATACTAATACAAATAAGTAAATATATCAATTATTTAAGTGATGCTCAATCTCAGTAAACATACTACAAAATTTGATCAGACCGATCGTTATTAAAATTACCTTCACACTGGCACTACAAGCACGAGGGCTCTCGAGATTCTTCATAGGACACTTGTCCTGGCAAAGACGGCATTCTGCAGAAGCAATGGGCGGCTTGTTTTCCTCCTCATCGGAAATATCAAATGCCTTCTCATTGCCCACCACCATCAACGGTTCCGGCAGCTTTGATCTCGTAAACCCATCATTCTTCTGACTATTAAAACCCTAAAAAAAATAAACGAAATCAGACCCAGATGAAATCTAATCTAACAGATCTGGGACCATAGAAAGCAATGACCGAGCCGAGAAAAGAAAATCGAAGAGAGGGAAAGGAAAAGAAAATGGGGTTTCCATCTTTCAAAACTCTAATTAAGATGTTGAGTCCAAGGAAAAAAGAATTTAAATCACCTGCGAAAATAGGAAGAAAGGCTTATAGGACGAACGGAAATGATTATAAGTAGTAAATCAGGAGGAACTTTGGTTGATCCAGGGTTATTTTCTGAGGCAGATCGAAATTGCGTCAAAAGATTTTGACGCAAATCACTCAAACAACGTGTGAGAAAAAGTTCATGGCCATTGACCCAAACTTTATCGGGGAGATTCGCAACAAATTAAGAAGAGAATGACGTTTTAGATTTTAAGAGAATAGTTTTTTTAATATAATTAAAATTTAAAAGGACAGATGTCACTCTCTCCAGTGCTGACGTGTCACTCAGCTGGAGAGAGTTCTTCCTCTTTTATATATAAGAAGATGATTTTTTATAGTGTATCACTTTTTTAAGCGATACTAATACAAATTAGCAAGTATATCGATCATTTAAGTGATGCTAACTCATATTTTGTATAGGTGATGTAAACTATAGTAGATTTGTATCAATTTTACATAAGTGATGTCAAATAAGTTAACAATAGCATCAATTATTATAATTGATGTTAAATCAAAATAAATTGTATCATTTATTAATAACTAATTTAATTTAATATCACTCATAAAAATAATGATATTTAAGTGATGCAACACACACATTTTTTCAGTGAAATATGTGGACAAACATACATATTCTCTTCTATTTTGTTAAAAACAAAACTACTGTAGGACTGCTTCAGTAATAGAATACAGAACAAGTAGTTGGATTTCAATTTAACGTATGATAGATTGTAGAACAAAATATAGAAAATAAATTCTAAAATTTTATAGAATTGTAGAATACATATTGTATAATTTTGTAGAATTTGTTCAAAAAAATATTTTAAATCTGATTCTTTCCTTAAATGGTTACAATTATTAATTTCTTTTATTATTTGTAATTTTTAATTAAAAGGTATATTAGTTAAATACTGATAAAAGTTTAAGAAATCTTTAAGGAGACAATAGTTATTAAAATATGTAATATATTTAGTATGTTGCATTTTCGGTCTTGAATTTATAATATCTTTATTTGGTCACCTTTAAAAAAATTTACTTTCATTTAATTATGTGGTTGACAAAACAAAAAAAATGTGTGATACTAAATTTTTTATATATTAAATGAGAAAAGAAAACAGGATGGATAACCACATCCTCAAAACAAAATTTTAAAGAGATTGTACATCACTTAATTTAGATGTATCAAAAATTAATGAGATACCTCTATTCATAATTAAAAAACATTATTATCAATTCATTTTTCATTAATTAAAAGGTATTTCAGTCAAAAAACTGATAAAATTTTAAAAATTTTACAAGGGAAAATAGTTATTAAAATATTTCATATATTTAGTATGTTGCATTTTCGGCCTTCAATTATATTTTTTTGGTCATCTATCAAAAAAATTATTTTTATTTAATTATTTGATTGACAAAACAAAACAAAATGTATGATACTCAAATTTTTATATATTAAATGAGAAAATAAAAATTAGAAATTCGATGGACAACCACATCCTCAAAGACAACTTTTAAGAAAATATGTAACTTCAATTAGATGTATCAATATTAATGAGATACCTATATATATTATACATATATACACCTCTATAATTTCAAATTATCATCAATTCTACCACTCACAAAACAAAATTAACAAAAAAACTAAAACATCTTCTGGTTCCTTCATATAACATGTCTGAGATGAGTAAACTCTTTCAACTCTCGCCCACCATTCTAACTATTTTCACTATACTTACTATATGTTTGTGTTTTTTTTTTCCTGGTTTTTTTTTAATACAGCTGTTTTTACCATTCAAAAAAATGTTGCTTTGTAATTAAATATTGCAAGTTATTTAAACTTTATTTTTTCATTTTTAATATTTTCTCATACTCCCTCTGTTCCTAAATAGATGATGTTTTAGGATTTATTCTTGTTCCACAAAAGATGATGTTTTAGGAGTATTTAATGTTATCTTATTTGCAAATTAAAAAATACTTAATTTACATTGGTTATAAGATATCAAATTTCTGAAATAGTATTGGAAAGTGAGAATAAAAGTTATACATTTATTGGAAATGGCAAAATAAATTTAAAAACAAAACAAAAAGAAATAAGTAAAAACATGTATTTATTATTCTTTAATAAGTGTGAAATCACTAAAACATCAAATAATCTGGAACAGATGGAGTAATAGTTAAGAATTTTGAGGCACTAAAGTTTTTTTTAATCATATTAAGAAAATCAAATTTTCTTAAAAAATTTCATCACTCTATATGTTACTCTTTTTATTCTGTAAGAATGGAAATAAATTTAACTGCATTTCTACTTTTGTGTAAATTTTTATATTACTATTTATAATATAATAATTCTATATAACTATTGCTAATTGTATAGCTATATTGATATATTATAATAATTGTTTTTTTACGAAACTTCAATGAATTAAATATATAATTTTTTTTATAAGTTTAATGTATTATTAATAAGCATAAATCTCTTCAATTTCAACATTCAGAAAAAATCAAATAATGATTTTGTTTTATTATAAAAATTAAAAAAATAATATTTTTATGTTTTAAATTTTTGTTTTTATAGGGATGATGGTGAAGGAAATACAATGAAAAAAATATGTTCTGAAATTCTACATAATATAACTTCAGTTTGTGAATACTACCGTAATGAAAAGGCGTTGATATTACTATTTGTTACACTGGTAATTGTTTTGATACACAATGTAACTATGTATGTTCGGGAAAACATGCTAAAGGGACTGAGATTTGCCCAAAAAAAAAAAGAGATAGAATGCTTCTACACTTAAAATTGTCTTTAAAATTGAAAAAGAAGCCGGTCGAATAATTTGGAGTTAAACAAATTTTTAGTTTTTGATTTTCTTTTCAAAAATTCTGAATAATAAGAGTAAATAAAATAGAACATGATACGTATAGTCTAGTAACTTTTGTGCTGATATCATTAATATGTTACCATCCAAATACAAACATGTATATTGCATGTAAAAAAGATTCATAATTTATACTTTTAATAAATTTCAGCTTATTTTTATTTTTTAATTATACTATAAATTTATTTTAATAGTTTAGATCTGGTATCTCATGGTTACTAAAATATAAACTATGAATCTTAAATATTGTTGAGGACTTTTACGGTCGTCGAGGTGGAGCTCCGAAGTATTTGTCTTTGTTGGCTATTTTTTTCTTTAATAAATTTATTAAAAAATATTAAACAAAATAAATGTATGAGTTTCTCTGTTATCAAAATAATAATGAAATCAAAACAAAAATTGATCTGGAAAATATTAAAATATGTAAATAATTACAGAAAAATAAATCAAAACAAAAGAGTTGGTTAATAAAGGGCTAATCAAAATAGTTGGTTCAGGCTGTTCTATCTCGGTATGGAATGACCTTTGGATACCAGCTTCTCGCCCGAGATCAGCCACTTGTAAGGGTTTTAATTATTACCCGAATCTCATGGTAAATCATCTGACTGATCCAATGACAAATACATGGAATATGGGCTTGATAATTGCAATTATTGAACCGGCGGATGTGGAAATTATCCGAGGAATTCCAATTAGTAGGTCCTACAGACCAGATTTACTAGGCTGGCATTTTACCAAGTCTGGAAGATATACGGTAAAATCGGGGTATCACATTGAGCAGCAATTTAAGGATGGCCCGCAAGATGTTTTTTACGGGCCAGATATTAAAGCATTACAAGCTCATACATGGAAATTAGAGTGCGCACCGAAGATACGACACTTTATTTGGCAGGCTATATCTGGATGTTTATCAGTGTCGGCTAGATTACGGACACGTGGGATACAATGTGACACACAATGTGCATGATGCGGAGCAGAGGAAGAAACTATTAACCATGTTCTATTTGAATGTCCACCTGTCCTACAAACTTGGGCATTGTCTCAGATACCAACACATTTGGGTGTCTTTCCAATGACTTCGGTTTACTCAAAAGGACGTAAATAATACACAATTTCCATGGATTGCGTGGTATATATGGAAGGCAAGAAATGAGAAAATTTACTCGAATATCGATGTGGATCCAAGGATTACACTGAAAATAGCAGAAACTGAGGCTATATTATGGACGGAAGCTCAAGGGACTGACCAAGATCTAGGGACACAAGACAATATGAATATTCCAGGGTCACTACCCAGTACATATGAGGGCTGGTGGTGTTATGTTGATGCCTCTTGGAAATCGACAGATTTGTCATCGGGATTGGGATGGTACTATTTTCAAGATGGGGCTATGGACAAAATAATGGGAACAAGAAATGTTAGACGGAGTCTCTCACCTTTGCATGCAGAGATGGAAGCCCTAATTTGGGCCATGCTTTGCATGATAGAGAATCAGAAGATGGAGGTCGCTTTTGTAACAGACTGTTCGGATTTGGTGAAGATGGTGTCTACACCTGCCGAATGGCCAGCTTTTGCTACACACTTGGAGGAATTTGTAAAGATCAAGGAGAGATTTAGCTTCTTTTCACTATCACACATTCCACGCGCGAAAAATATGAAGGCAGATAACCTAGCAAAAAGTGCTCGGATCTATCCTTATGACATTATGTATGTAAACTCGGTACCACCGGTTTGGTCTATCAAACCGTTTTAGGTATCTAGGCTGTTGACAAAAAAAAAAAAGAAATCAAAACAAAAATAATCAAAAAATAATATGGAAAACATGAAAATATGTAAAAGATAATTCAAATAAATCTCAAATAAACGAATGAAAAAATCATAGATTTTTATTAAAATTTTAGCTCATATGAAATTTATATTAATTAATTATATGTTAATATGTAAAGATCATGTTTTGATTCTTGAATAACTTATTTGAAAAAAAAAATCACTTTTGGTCTAATCGGTACAATCTATTTGTCTGTCATCTACCGCGACCCACCATTATCTTTCCAGATTCCAAAGAAAATTATGAAGGTGCTCGCTTCGTAATTCTTGCCTCTCAAAAAGGTTGGAATTAAAGTCTTGATTCTTATTTGTATAGTTGCAAATTAGAAAACTTCTATTTTTGTTTGACAAGTAAATTAATCTTTAATTCGTTAGAATTACTTGTGCAATCTCTTGTGTTCTGTTTATGTTATCTTTTGGATTCAAATTTCATTTGCATCACGTTATAAAACAGCCGATTTTACACATTTTTGTATGCCCGCACATATACATATACATTTTGAATCGTTCGTACTCCTGAGAAAACTTCCTTGAACCCCAACGCCTTCTTTCCTATTGATTTACACCGTTTTTATTTCAGCCTTAGTTCAATATTGTCATTCCTTTTTAGTAGATTTTCATTTAAAGCAATTAGAATACCCGTTTTTCTCATTTTTATTCATTTTCGTTAAGTTTTGTTATTAAGCCATTTAGTTCCCGTAGTTTCTTTTTAGATTTCGTTTTTTACATTTTAAACACACTACCAAACCCCCACAAAACCGTTTGGTTCTAGACTTCCTTACTTTATACTTATTTCAAACGCTTTTTGCAGAAAAAAGATCCTCCTTCCCTGTGGATTTGATCCCTAAGTACTACAATCGATCAGCTGTGCACTTGCGGCTATTGATTTCATTTAGTGTAAAACTTGACAACCCTCACACAACCACCACATCACTTGGCCGTGAATGGTGTGTTAGTAAGGGAAGACAGAGGCGAGCAGAAATCAATCTTCCATGTTAGCAAAATGCTGGACGACGCGGAGAAGAGATACCCGACGTTAGAAAAGCTTGCTCTCACGGTGATCATGTCGACAAAGAACTTGCGCCCGTATTTCCAATCACACTTGATCGTAATTCCCACAAACCAGCCATTGAGGACGATATTACACAGCCCAAGCCAGTCCGGCCACATGGTGAAGTGGGCAGTCGAGCTCACAGAATACGATATAAAATATCGCACCAGGACGAGCGCAAAATCTCAAATATCGCAGCATTCTGCGATTCCCAGCTCGTCGCTAATCAATACAGCGGCAACTACGATACCAGAAACGATTATATGGATATGTACCTGAAAGGCTTTAAAAAACTCACCAATCAGTTTGAGCCTTTCTCCCTCACCAGAATCCCGAGGGGCGATAACACGTTGGCCGATGCTTTAGCGGCTGATAACACCGTATTTTGACAACTTTTATGGATCATAATTGTATCTTATGCAGGTGTTTTAACTCTGTTTTCAATGTTTTTAAAGTGTTTTCAATGTTTTAGAGTTTCAAAGGACTTTACAGGAAACTTGGGCAAAAGATATGCAATTTGGAACAAATGAGCAATTTTGGATAAATGCAGACCGTCAGAAGTATGATAAGCGATGAAGACCTTCTCACCGTCTGATCACCCCCAAAATTTGAGACAACATAGAGGATCCAACCAGATTTCTAATGCACTTGGTTTGGAGACAATCCAACGGTTAGATCTTCAGATACTCCCGATGCAAGAATGACAGAAAATGCAGTTCCGGAAGAGAGCATGTGCCGGGACCGCGGCAAACACCTATTTTCCCGTGGGTAGAGCCACCGCGACCGCGGAACTTGGTCGTTCACTTTCCCGACGACTTAAATAAAGCCCAGATCAATTCCCTTCGTTATTTTTGAAGCCCTAAGTGTCCAGAACCACCCCAGAAGCTATAAATACCCCCTTTAGGTCATTTCTAAAGGCAGAGAGACGACATAAGATAAAAATAGAGAGAGAATTCGTGTGAGACTCAAACCCTAGAGAGGGAGGCCGCCGGTTTTGAAGGAGGAGCCGCCGCTGGAGGAAGACATCGCGCCTCCATCTGCTTCTCCGTTCTTCGTTCTTCTTCCTTCTTTTCTTTAGTTTCCTGCACTTTCAATTTCGTTTATGATGCTTTGTTACAATATGTTTGAGTAGTTACCCTGTTGGGTTTAAAGGGATTATTCAAAGGGAATTTCATGTGTCTTTGCTTATGAATCGATAGATTTAGGATTATTAATCTTCTAGATGTTCTTCGTTTGCCTTTAATCTTACTGCGTGATTCTTTGCTGGCCACTTAGAAGCCGATCTGATATGATATGTTGCGAAAGCTTTCATTGATTTTCTGAACTAGGGTGAAACGAGCAATTCTTCTATAGGAGTGGAAACCTACCTGTAGTTGAGTTGTGAATATTGATGAGTCTTGTTCTGCTATTGCATCTTCTCCCTTCCAGAATCAGAGTGGAAACCTACTGATTGGGGTTGCGAGAGATAGTTGTTTGGTGCTGCGAAAGTAGGCTATTCATACTTCCGTGCCTCGAGTTCTAGAACATACGTAGTTGATTACCTTTATCACTTGTTTAAAATCGACATAGCTTAGTCCATGAACCCCTGCGAATTACCCTTGAGCCCCAACGTTTTTCTTTTATTGCTTACAACCTTCAATTTAGTTTGCTTTTCATTTGCTTGTTCTTTGCTTTCAATCGCTATTTACTTGCCTTCTATTTCGCTTTGCTTAATCGCTTTTTACTTGCTTTACCTGCTTTAGTTTTCTTTTAATTGCTTTTTTAATTGCTTTCTAGTTTAGATTTAGTGACAACAAAAAACTAAAACCAAAACCAAAACCTTTTAGTTCTAATCTGATTTAAGCGTTGCGTTGAATTCGTACTGAAACAACTAAGTCTCTGTGGATCGATACCCTAAGTACTACAGCGCACATCTGTGCACTTGCAGACATTTAGGGGTTATAAATTTAATACCTGAAGCTTAGTAAAACGAAAACAACAAACCCCGTTTACAAACTTGCAATCAGCGGCGCTCACCTCAACATCGGAACCTAACCAGCATTGTGTCATTCTTGTCGAAAGCATTGATGCACCAAGCATCGATCTTCCAAAAGGAATATACGCCATCAGAGAGTTCGAGGCGAGCAGCATCGATGCAAACAAAGAGCCGCTCCCCGATGTCGTGGACGAATCAGCTGAGCAAGAACCATCCAACGAGGATTGGAGAGTTTAGATACTGCTATATCTCATCGACAGCCAAGTACCACCTGATCGATGGGCAGCGAGGCGACTCAAGTCGCATAGTGCGAAGTTCATCCATCAGGACATAAATTTATACCGATGGAGCACATTGGAAATCTTACTGAACTGCTTAGATGGCGAGGAGAAGCACGACGTCATGAATGAAACACACATGGGCGCATGTGGCAACCACTCCAGTGGTCGATCTTTTGCGAGGAGGATAAAGAACTACAGACACTTCTGCCAACGATTCTGACTGACTGCAATCGTTTCGAACAATGCTAAAGGCACACCCCGATGATCCACGTCCCCGTAGAGCTCCTCGCTACCTCGTCACCTCTTTATCCATCCATGTGGTGGGCAATGGACATCGTTAGTCCACCACTTTGATCCCGCCAAAAAAGGTTCATGCTCATCGTCACTGATTATTTTACCAAATGGGTCAAGGCATAGATTTTTATTAAAATCCTAGCTCATATGAAATTTATGTTAATTAATTATATGTAAATATGTAAAGATCTTGTTTTGATTCTGAAGTAACTTATTCGAAAAAGAAAAGAAACAAATCAATTTTACTCTATTCGGTACAATCTATTTGTCTGTTATCTACCGCGACCCACCATTATTTTTCCAGATTCTAAAGAAAAATTATGAAGGCGCTCGCTTCGTAGTTCTTGCCTATCAAGAAAGTTGGCTTTTCAAGTTAAAGTTTTGACTCTTATTTGTAAAATTGCAAATTTGAAAACTTTCATTTTTGTTTGACAAAGAAATTGATCTTTAATTCGTTAGAATTACTTGTGCAATCTTTCGTGTTATGTTTATGTTATCTTTTTGATTCAAATTTCATTTGCATCACGTTATAAAACAGCCAATTTTACACATTTTTTGTATGCCCGCACATATACATATACACTACACACTGTCGTAAGTAAAGAGTAAAAGCTAATCTGTTTTACCGAGCGAAAATGAGTCTAGTTTCTCTTTCTAAGTAGTAATTATATAGCTTCTAACATCAAGTGCGAATTCGGAGTAGTTCCCAAATCCATCACTTTGTTCACAAAATGTGAATACTTGTAGTATCTCTTCTCTGTTTCTTCTTTGCTCTGAAACATTGTCTTCAGCTTCATCTCTAATCCCTTTGGAGTATAGTTCAAATGCTTACCAGAACCCGCAGGACCCTCTTCGACTAGGAGCATTATGTAACTTTGTAGGTAACTCTTGTATCTTGGCACAACTGTTCTTACCATGGCCTGACGTATCTTCCATCTCAACTTTTCATCCTCAATAACCCAATCTGATTGCTTTGTGTAGATTTCGTCGAACCCCTTAGCAAAGGCTTGCAATGTTCGCTTAATGGACTCACCGGATCGTTTTCTTTGAGCTTTGTAGTTGAGTAGGGATAAGAGCTTCCCCAAGCTTTCTTTGACGTATAGCGCAGCATAATAGTCTCTATACTGCTCGTGCGCGCTCAACCAAGACTCCCCCATCATTTTTCCGATATGAGTCTCTCTCAAACCGCAGAAATGGCAGTGATTGTTCATCATAAAGATGCAAGAAAGAGTGGTTCCTTTGTCCGAGCTCGACCACGCATCCAAATTTAAAGCAATCTCTCTCAGTATGCTGTACATGTGACCTGTGAGAAGCTCTTCTTGGTACTTTTTGTTTTTCCATCCTAAATCAATCTCGAGAATCTTCGACAAGATAGGCTTGTTGTTGTTCTCGAGTAGCTTGTTGCAGTACTCAGTCACAACACTCACAAGCTTGGGGACACCACCGTCAAGAGGTGGGCAGTTTGGTCTTTGTAGCTCCACTTGAAAAGGTAACTCCCAGAAGATCTCGCAGACACCGTTAACGAGATTGCTAATTAGCTCCCGTGTTGCTCTGCGTATCTCTGAGCATTGCTCCGCTCTAAACAGCTGGTTAAACTCAATTCGAATGGTGTCCATTGTAGAGAAACAATCTAAGAGCTTTAGCAGCTTTGGTGGATCTTTCTTGCATTTGCTGATTCTTGTTCCAAACCTGAGTAGTGGAAAGATTCCTGAGTTTGAAGCTATTTCTCCAAAGCAACGCAATGGGACATCTTTTCCAACATCTTCAAACACTTGATCGCAGAGCTTACTCTCAAAGTGGTAAATATCTTTCACAGCAATCTCCATATCCAATTTCCATTGATCTATATCCCCTTCAATATCCTGCACACTATCAGCTTCTGTGATTGTTCTCTCGAGATAGTCAATCTCCAACCGTTTCTGAATAACCTTTGTGCGGGCTTTGATGTAAACAGGCACACAGTTTGTTAACCGCGAATGAGCATCTAATCTCTTGATGATAGCCTGCAACTTTCTCAAGTTAGCTTCTGAAAAACCCGCTTTGAGAATCCGCTTGAATTCTGTTTCGAGATACTCCAGCGCTGTGAAAAGACTCCCCCCTCTGAGATAAGCACGAGCCTCGGTCATTTGCAATTCCTGCACATGTTCTATCCAAGTCTTGAACCGCAAACCGCAAGGATGGTCTTCAGGCATTCCATTTTCGGTTAGGAAGTCGATCGTATCTTCAAGCCAATGAAGAGCAAGAACACAGCTACTAGAGAGAAAACTCACGGCTTCTCCAAGACGTTTAACATCTGAAACATAACCGAGGACTTCATTAGAGGAGAAGAGAGATCTCTCGAGTTCTTGAACCGTAGCAAAGACTCTCAGAACACCGGATATCGGGGCAATGGTGTGACGGATATGATCAGAGAAAGGAGAAGATCTCCATCTCTCTACCTTAACATCAGCTTCTAAAGACACCAGCTTGTGGTTGATCTCTTCAAGTTTGGATCCTGCCTTGTGTAGAACCAATGAAAAGGTTTCTGATTTCTCCATCTCACTCTTCAATAAGCTTCTCATTGCTTTAAGTCTCTCAAGTCGTTTTGCTTCAGCCATTGCTTTTGTTGCTTACTCACTAAATGCTTCAACAACTGTTAATGGATTTATATAACAATCCTCGGCAGATAAACCAAACTTCTTACCAAACCCACCAAATGAAGTAATTACCAGTATTATACTATAAACCACAACATCGTATTTGGTCTTTTAAAAGTATAAGAATTGTTACATTTTAATCATTAACTTAAAGCAAAATCCAAGTCTTGTTTTGTTTGTTATAGTCAGCTCAACCATCTTTATCTGATGCTAAACAGTTTCTCTTCTTTTCTGGGGTTTGATCATCTGATAAAATGAGCCTAAAAAGTCAATGAAATTGTCTTTTCCTTGTTGTGTATTTAAAGCTGAAAAAACTAACTTTAAAAACTACAAAACCAAAAAAATGTAAGCGGACTTATACACGAAATTCCTTTACTAGAAATGAATAGATTTCAGTAATTTCACATAATTAAGTTTTTATTATTTATATTATTATTTTGGCTTTTTTCTGTGGCTTCACATAAGATTTCAATTAACCAATCAAGGAAATGAGCCAACAAATAAGGGTTTAGCTCAGTCTTGGAGTAAACTCCAAGAAACAATGATGAAGTAGATAAAATCGAATTTCCGAAACACCGAACCGATGTTTGAACAGGCGGAGACGGACTTATTTTCCGTGGGTTTAACATGGTTTTCAAATATGTGCTCTCTTCAAACGATGATGTTATTACATATAAATGTGGAATTATAAATACATAATTATTGATATTGGATCGAATTATGATCCGAAATGAGGAAATGACTTTGATACTGATCTCATGCGTTGTAATGAATGATGATGCTAGAGGAAGAGCCTGATAGGTTCTAACCATTGTCGCTGGTGGTCAAACCGCTGCATTGGCTGCTATAGAATGTCTGGATTTCAAATGCCATTTTATTAGAGGATATTCCTATATTAGAAGATACACTTGTATATTCTCTAGAGATTCTTTCCTGATTGTGTTAGGGCTCTAGTCTCTTTCTCTTGTATAAATAGCCAACCCTATGAACGATGTAAACACACAGAAATAATATTGAGTTTACAAGTTTGTCATAGTATCAGAGCAATCGATCTGACAGACCTAGTTCAAAAATTTTTTTTTCTTCTCTCTGCTGCGCCTGTCCCTCGACGGTGCTGCAAGTCAATTTTTTTTGGGTTTCTCCGCCGCGTCTCTCGATCGGCTGCAGTTTCTCCGCCGCGTCTCTCGACCGGTTGTCTGTTTTCTCCGCTGAGTCTCTCCACAGACTGAGTTCTCTGCAACCTCTGTTTTTCATAATTAAAACAGAGCATTAAGCCTCTCGGCGTTCTCTTCGTCTTGACATCATCATGGCCGTCGTTCCAAAAGAAGCCACCTACAAGACGATCTCTCCTTTTGATCTCACCTCCGGGGATAACCCTGGTGCTGTAATTTCACAGCCGCTTCTCAACGGTTTGAATTACGATGAGTGGGCTCGTAATCTGCGAATGGCGCTGAGCTCCAGAAAGAAGTTTGGTTTTTTGGATGGGAGTATTCCGAAACCAAAGGATGGTGATGCAACTCTCGAGGATTGGACAGCAAACAATCATCTGCTCGTCGGTTGGATCAAGTTGACGATCGAACCCAGGCTTCGCTCCTCCATCTCCACTCGTGAGGTCGCGAAAGATCTGTGAGATATCATTAAAAAGCGTTTTTCGGTGAAGAGTGGTGCTCGTTTACAGCAGCTTCGGAACTCTCTTGCTACATGTAAACAAAACGGAGCTTCTGTGGATGATTACTTTGGTCGCCTCACCAAAATTTGGGACGCCATTGAAGAATGTATGAACTCCAAACGGTGTACGTGTGGCAAGTGTGAATGCGATCTAAACGCAGCTCATGACAAGGAGAGAGAAACTCTTCGGGTGCACAATTTTCTTTCAGGGCTTGACGATTCCATCCACGGGGTTATTCGCTCTCAAATCTGTGCTATCTCTCCTCTTCCCGATCTTGACAGTGTCTATCAGACCATTTTGCAGAACGAAACGGTTCGTGCCAATGCGACTGCAGAAGTTGCGGTGATGGGATTCGCTTCTCAAGCTACTCCCAAGTCTCGTCAAACTCCTCCGGTGTGGACTCGTGACGTTACGCCGTCTGGTGCTTCTCGAGGTGGGTTAAATACTCGCGATCCAACTCGCGTCTGCGCCGCTTGTGGCAAGCTGGGTCATGAATCGACGACGTGCTTCAAAGTGATTGGGTACCCTGATTGGTGGACTGATAAGCAGCGAAACAGAGGTGGTGGTAGGGGCTCTGCGACAGGTCGTGGAAATGGTGGAGCTCCTCGTGCGAATGTGACTCAGATCTCTGCGGCTAACTCTGCCATTGCTGGGTCTCCAGTGATGATTACCGACAGTGATCGACAAGGTTTGGCTGGGCTTACTGATGAACAATGGAGTGTGGTCAAGCGGATGATCAATGCGGGCAAGCCTGTTTCGGATTCTGGTGGTAAGAATAATGATACAATATGGATATTAGATACTGGAGCCACACATCACATGACAGGTTGTCTTGATTTGTTGACGGATCTCCGAGATATATCTCCTCTCCCGGTCATACTACCTGCTGGATCGAATGCATGTGCATCGAAACAGGGGACAGTCCATCTTACCTCGGGCGTTTCTTTGAAAGATGTTTTTTACATTGACGGATTTCATACGAATCTTATCTCGTATGGCCAACTTGTCACTGATAACTATCTAGTCGGTCAGGCTACTGATAAGCTGATGATTTTGCAGGATCGCAATACCAGGATGCTGATTGGAGCGGGTGAGCGAGAAAGAGAGAGGGACTTTACCGTTTTCGGGGCATTGAGACTTTGGCTGTGTTTCAGACGAGTGTTCGCGAGGATACAATGTTGTGGCATCAGCGTCTTGGTCATCCGTCGTCCCAGATCACCGGAATCGTCCCTGGAGCTAGTAGTTCGTCTAGTAGTACTGATTTTTCTCTTAAACATTGTGATGTCTGTGTTAGAGCTAAACAAACTCGACAGTCTTTTCCGGATAGTTTAAATAATGCATTAGCAGTTTTTGATTTGATACATGTTGACTTATGGGGACCCTATCGTACTACGGCGTTCTGTGGTTCACGATATTTTTTAACCATTGTCGATGACTATTCGAGGGCTGTCTGGCTCTATCTCCTCGCTGATAAGGCAATGGTTTCTCAACAGATCCGCAATTTTCTTGCCATGATCGAAAGACAATTTGACAAGAAGGTTAAAACTATACGAAGTGATAACGGGACTGAGTTTATGTGTCTCACACAGTTTTTTCGCGAACAAGGCATCATACACGAAACATCTTGTGTCCATACACCGCAACAGAACGGTCGTGTTAAACGCAAGCACCGACATATCTTGAATGTTGCCAAGACTCTTCGTTTTCAAGCAAATCTTCCGATTGAATATTGGGGGGAGTGTGTACTCACAGCAGGGTATCTAATCAACCGAACTCCTTCGGTGTTGCTTCAGAATAAAACCCCTTTCAAGAAGCTCTATGGTCATGCACCGGGTTATAAACACATACGTGTTCTCGGTTGCCTTGCTTATGCTCACAATTGTGATCACAAAGGTGATAAATTTGCTCCACGAAGTCGACGCTGTGTATTCTTGGGCTATCCTTATGGAAAGAAAGGCTGGAAACTATATGATTTGGAACGTCATACTGTTATTACTTCTCGGGATGTGGTTTTTCATGAGCAGACGTTTCCTTTTGCTACTTCTGAATCTCCACCATTGTTGGAACATACCACATTATCTTCTCCTCTGACGAACACCGCTACTGATGATCCCATAGACGTGGCTCCAATGATGAATGATCGAAATAGTGATCCTGTTTCTAGTGAATCTGACTCTGCCCCTCCAACAGAACCGGTTTTAGCTGTTGATACTAATGCTTCTGATCAAGTTGTGGAAGACTCATCTGATATTATAGAGGAACCTCTGGGCCGAGGGCATCGTGTTCGGATTCCGAATGTCAAGCTACGTGATTTTGTTGTTGAGTCCTTGTCAGCTTCGACTCCTCCACTCTCTCTCGCTCCCGATGAACCCGCTCCTCAGCCATCCTCAGGTTCCCTCAATCCTCTGTCTAATTATGTTTCTATTGATCGGTTTTCCCCTAATCATCGCAAGTTTATATTGGCCTTAACTACTAATATTGAGCCTCGATCATTTCAAGAGGCCATGAAACAGAAACATTGGGAACAAGCGGTGCATTTGGAGTATAATTCTCTAGAGGAATTGCAAACATGGAGACTTGAGGATTTACCTCCGGACAAGAAAGCACTTGGGTGCAAATGGGTTTTTACGACGAAATACAGATCCGATGGTTCGATTGAACGATATAAAGCCCGTCTTGTCGTTCTTGGTAATCATCAAGAAGAAGGTTTTGATTATGAGGAGACTTTTGCACCAGTGGCAATGATGAAGACGGTTCGCATATTTCTTGACTTTGCTGCCAAAAATAATCACGAGGTTCATCAGATGGACGTCCACAATGCTTTTCTTCATGGTGATCTTCATGATGTCGTCTACATGAAGCTTCCTCCGGGTTTTCGTCCTGATGGTGAAACTCGCGTTTGTCGACTTCAAAAGTCTTTGTATGGTTTAAAGCAGGCTCCTCGCTGTTGGTTTGCTAAACTAGCTGATGCGCTTCTTGCATATGGTTTTACCCAGTCTCGTGCGGATTACTCTCTTTTCGTCTACTCCAAGAATGATGTTTCTCTCCGCATCTTGGTATACGTCGATGATCTGATAATTTCGGGTAATTCTCATACGGCGATCCAAACGTTTAAAGATTACTTGTCTCTGTGTTTCCGCATGAAAGATCTAGGAGCGGTTAAGTATTTCCTTGGCTTGGAAGTAGCTCAAAACTTATCCGGCATCTATCTTTGCCAACGGAAGTATGCGACTGATATTGTTTCCAAGATGGGTCTCCTTGGGTGTAAACCGGCTGGGTCTCCTATTGATCA